GCGGCCGGCTGAGACGGGCCGGCCGACACGGAGACGCCCTCCGGGGGGGTTCTGACCTGCTCGCTGCGCTCGGCGTCCTTGCAGAGTTCGCCCCAGTCGTGCTGGATCTCCTCCTCTTCCTCCGCCTCCTCGCCCTCATCCGAGCTGGTCTCCACGTTGCCCTCGCCGCGAGCCAGGTCCGGACCGCCGGAGTTCGCCGACTCCTCGTCCTCCTCGCCGCCCGACGAGCCCGCTTGGCTTTCATCGTCTTCCTCGGGGCCGAGCGGACAAACGGCGTCATCCTTCGGTCTCGCGCGGCCCAAATTTCACCGGCCGGCGGCGTTTTTGGCCCGCGTTTGAAGCGGCGGCGGCGGCGCCTCACCCGACTCGTCTCGCTCCTCGTCCTCATCCGAGCGGCCTTGATCGCTTTCGCCTTCGGGGATCCGGTAGAAGCGTCGGAGGTCCTCGGCGGCGGAGCGGCGGACGGGCCGCCCGCGCTTGTCCACCTCGCACCTGACTTGGAAGCGCTCGTCGCGGAACATGGACTCGAAGCGCTCGTCGATGGCGACCTTTCGCTGGCGGTCGGGCATTTCCCAAAACCGAGGGTCCCGCCGGACGCGCGAGAAGCGCGCGTCCGCCGGCGCCCCGTCTTCCTCCTCGGCGCTCTTTTGGGACGACATGGCCGCCGCCTGACAACAGAGTCGCTTCCGTCATGAGCCGCGCTTGCGCTTTGCCTTCACTGGGCGATCGCGCGAGCATTATTATTTTTTTTTTTTTCCGGCTTCCAATCCGTGACAGTTTTGTGGCTGCGTATTAGTGGTGCAACGATTTCTCAGCGACGATCAAATTAATGGCCGCCTCTTTTGATCATCGCGAAATAAATAACTCTCGAGGTCTCGTTTTTCGGTTTCGCTCGTCTTCGGGGCCGTTATGGCTCGATCGCGGGAGGTTGGTTGATGGAAACGTGGATCTCGGCTCCAAAAAAAAGGGGGGGGGGCACCCCTGGTTTCGAGAGTCCTCGTTTTTTTTTTTTTTTTTAGACCTCCATCTCCATGTTTTGCTCCTCCCCGCGGCGGCGCTCGCTCTGCTCGCGGCGGAGGCCTCGCAGCAGCTGCCGGTACTTGTCCAGCTGCTCCTGGCTCTTGCTGGTCGCGGCGGCGGCGTCCCGCCCGTCTTCCGCCTCCCGCTCCGGCTCGTCCTCTCCGGACGACGACGACGCCAGGTAGGCCGCAAAGTCCATGTCCAGAAGCTCGCTTTTGTTGAACTTCCTT